ATAAAAGCAGTAATGGTATATAACATGGTATATAACAGGTATATAACAGGGTATAAACTAGGTTGTTATAAACCCGCTCATCACTAGGTAATACTCTATTACTATATTTACACAAATTTTTTGTTTGCTATGATCAACGTTACACGTCCATATAAAAATCTAATTTTTGGCAATTTTATACCCAATAAAATCAATCATAAATCGTGTCATTTTATTTTTCCATAAATAGAAATATGAATAATGATGGATATTTTTATAAATGTTTCACAAAGGGTTGGAGTTTGGAATTGCTAGTATTTAAAGAACAGCAGTTTTAAACACACTTTCTTTTTCTTTTTTTTTTTTTTAATATTTCATATTCTATATTAAATAAACCATGATTTCATTTTATTTTTTTAACATTTTATTATTTCAACCACAATTTCATTTTTATTATTTCATTGGGCAGTTCAAATTTAGAAATCTGTTTAACATCATTTTTTGAAAAAACGTTTCGATAATTACCCTGATAAAAAATATGCAAAATTACTTTTTTTGGAAGCTTTTTGACGATCAAAGGATTAGTTTAAATTCAAAATTTCTAAAAAAATGAGAAGGGGGGGGGGGGAGGTTGATGTTAAACGAGACTTCAAGTTTGAATGGCCTTGTTCTAAACAAACCACAATTTCATCTATATATTAAAATCTTGGGATATTAACCCCCATATTTTATTTGTTACACCAAATTCGATAAATACACTTCTTTCTATAAACCAGTAAGGTCGTTATAGAGAGGTGTGAACTGTAAATACACAATTTTGTGATAATTTTAGAGATTAATTTATTATTATTATTATGTTTATAAGTCTTTTTGATTCTAACAAGAATATATATGAATCAATCGGTAAATAGATGGATGGATGAATGGACGAATGATGGAGAAGAATTCAATGAAAAAGTATAGTTGGCTAATTTTTAATTCAAAAATCAATATTGATGATAATCTTTAAAGTTGTTTTTATTTTATTATAAAATGAACAAAATTAACTAAATCTGTCTACAAAGAAAATATTATCCATCACACGAAGACACACTGATGAAACACACAATCGCAATTTTGTTACCAATTGAAAAAAATTCCGCTATAGAGTAACTAGAAATGCCTTTTATATCATGAAGGCAACATGATTTATTGTTATTAATAGAATTATTACTGATAATAGTATCTCTTATCATAATCAATCAACGGTGAGTTGACATTATATTCAAATACGAATAACCGTCCAATTGAAAAAATTCCGATAATTTATTACGTATTCAACAGGAAATATTTTATTTTTATTTTTTTTCGTACAACTACATTTGAAAACATATATAGCCTACTTTACAAACACGAGTAAAACATCAACATTTAACAATTGTTAAATTAATTTTTTTGTCAATGATGGTGGAAAGAGGTCCTTATATTAAAAATAAAAAAAGCTGTTTAGAATGTAAAAAAGCGAAGCAAAAATGCAGCGAAAAAGATCCTTGCGAAAGATGTTATAAAAATAGTCGCCAATGCGATAGAAATTGGAATTCGAAAAAAAGAGGACGAAGAAATAAAACAGGTAATGTTATTTTTTTTGTTGATCCGTATTGAAAGGGAATAGAACATATGGAGGGCAGAGAAAACAGATATTCAATGCGCGAAATGTGCTGTGTAAAGATGGGAACCGTGATTAGCCGCAATTCAACCGTAATTCAATTTTTATAGTTGAAACTAGTCATAATGAATTGAGGAACCTGTGCTAACCAAATTTGATAATTATTGGCAGAACTTCCCAAAATAATTGATTAAATTTTGGTTGGCAATAGTGTTGGTCGCCAAAATATTTTGAGAGGTGAGAGTCAACTAAAATTAGGAGTCATATGTCAAAAGTCAAATTAATTTCGACTTATGGCGAAACCTTTTGACTTTTGCATAGTTATAAAATTCTTTAGTTTGGAAAACAACACTAGTTAGCACCGTACGCACACACTGAATTATACGCTGTTCAGAAGCCAAGAAATAATTCTTACAGCCGGATTGTTTATTTTAAATTTTCTATCAAAAGTTATAAGCATAAAGGTTTGAAAATTTCATTATTTTGGAGGATATATATATGCAAGAACAGGTGCCTAACAATAAAAACTCATACTAACATCATCATTTTCCCCTCAAACAATGAATAATCTTATAACTCAACAATAATTAGATCAAATTCAACAACAACAACCGCAACAACAATTACCACAATAACTGATACAAAGATCCACTATCATACATTCTCCGAATAATAATAACCAAAATACTATGAATTTTACAAATACACTTGTTGATGTTGATGTTGCTCGTAATCATACTGCATCATATGTCAGACTAACCTTAAATATTCGATTAAATTCTCGTTCAATTATAGCTCCTACTCCTCCTAATTTACCAATACACGCACAAAGACAGGTCAATCAAAGAACAGTTGTTCAACAACCTCAACAGCAATCAACAAACAATAATAATGTTTCCATACCTCAACAAACTCAACCATCGACAATCTCTCAACCAAGCATCAAACAATTAATACTTAATGCTTCTACATCATTAGTGACACCTTCTTTATCGATAATAGATAATAATGGTGGTAATGGTAGTAAAAATAATAAATCTTTTGATTCACATGAAAATTTAAATAAAAAAGGAAGGTTGGACAATAATAGTATTGATAACCCACCTAAAGATTATGATAAGGAACCATCATTTGAAGAACTCTATGAATCAATAAGAAAGTTAAATAATACAATGAAAAATAACATGGATACTGGAGAAGCAACCAAGGGAACTGAAGAAAGTCATATTCCTTGTAGAACGTATGTGGAAAATAGCTCCAATCATGATTGTATTAGCAGTGCCTTGTCAAAATCTGCTTGAATGCTTCTACTTCATTGAGAGGACTTATTAACGGATTGTTAATTGGTACTTTGTATTTAGTTGGTTGCTTTTATTTTTTATTTTTATTTTTTTATTATTGGAAGAAAATTATAAGAACGTGTGGGGGAAAAGGTAAATTCTATGTATTACGATTTCTTTGATATTTCCTATCACCTATATTGCAATACATCGTTGTTTGTTGTTGTTTCACCTGGTTGATGATGGGCTTGCCCATTAACACTCAGTAAACAAACTTCATTTGTATTGAGTTATGTTCTTGTTATCGGATACCTGATCTGTATGTCGATATGTTTTTCACATGTCCGAAAGGTACGTGAAAAAAGGATATTGCCTATAGGAAGCATAGGTATCCGATACCTACCTTAAACGAATTATCAGGTAGGTCCGACGTATTACTGGCAGAAATAAATTTTTTTTTTTTAATTCAAATATATATTCTTATTATTAAACGATAAACTGATTGTATCACATGGTTATAATATAAAGTTGTAAAAATAAGTTTGTTTATTTCTGCCAGTGATTGATTACATAGGGCCTACTTGATAAATTCTTATTATTATGTAATAGTAAACATTAAAAAATAAACGATAAACTGATTGTGTCACATGATTATAATATAAAGTTGCAAAAAAATAAGTTTGTTTATTTATGCCAGTTACATAAGACCTACCTGATAACGAGTTGTTCTCATAACGGGAGTGACCTGCATATAATAGAATTTATTTTCATTTTTAAATTGAATTTGAATTTAAATATTTAAAATTGGTTATTTATTGCATAATGTGAAATAAAAAATTTCAGGCATCGATTTGCTCGGTATTTTTTTAATGGGCTCGCGAAACAATCCCATTTTGATTTATTAAGAATAGGTTGTTTGCTTTTTGATATGTATACTTTCTTTTACTAAAGCTTGATTTTGGGGAGCTAACACTGGTATGCTAATTAAACTCTTATATAAAGAGAAACACGGAAGATACTATACAATTGGAATAATTAATATCGTCCATCACAGACATGTATATGGTGTTTCCAAGAGACTAGGCTTGTACAATCCTGTAGAATTATCAATGGCAAGATAAAATACGTGGTGCTATTGAATGTATCAATCCATTAGGTATTTCATTCAAGTGTGGATGCACTATAAAGTCATTCAACAACTGTCATTGCTATTGTTTGTGCGCCAACCTTCTCAAAAACTTACACATTCTATCTATATTACCACCAGTCAATTTATGATGGACATTCAAAACACTTCAATATCAAAAAAATCCGATGGAAGTCTTTCCTGGTCAGTGACTTGATTTACAATGATACACACAAATATATATTTAACTATACAGTGCAGGAGCTCTACAATAGGAACAAATGTTTCTTGGTATAGGTCGCCCGCCCACTCTGTAAATAGCTAAACTTATTATTGTGGAATTTTTTTGTGCCACACTATTTCAATTTACGTTTTTTATATATAAATATAAAGGTGTAATTTCCGCAGTTGTCATGTTAAGAGGCTAAGAAGGAGTGTTTTATTTTTTATATTTTTTAGGTAGTCATTTACTCTTGTAATTGTTACCATTAGAACTCATGATGTCCTTGACCACCTCATCAACCAAGGGAGTTGGGTTTTTTTTAGTTGGTGTATTTTTAGATTAAGCCCGTTTGATTTTGAATAGTTAGATGTTTGAGTACTTTGTTCAATATATGATAGCTGGGTGACATGTACCATTGTAAATTTATTATTTGAAAATTCTAAATTTCTTGCTAGAAAAAGTACACTTCCTCACCTGATTGACATAGTTGTGGTTACAAGATGTTTCTCAGCACTTAAATGATATATTGTAAAGTTTATTGACTTTCCTTTTAGATTCTACATATTCATAAGCATTAACCTCAACACTTACTTATTTTATCATTATTAATATTCGGATTATTCATTGCTGTAATGATTGATTCTACAGTAAGGCCCGCCCGAAGAAGATCAACTGGTATATACAATAGGTAAAACAATTACATTTGACAATATGACTTGAGAAAATACAGTACAAAATGTTGATCAATTTTATATTTACATTGTGTCAAAGTCGAAATTAATTAACTCTCCTCATTTTCGATAATTGTAAATTTCCCATTGATTTTTTATCAGGTAAATTGTTGCAAATTTGTTGCTGTGATGTCATCCTTTGGATAAAAACTAATGGGATGGAAAATAATTTCCGCGTCTCTAATGTTGGCCTACAAATTCCTACGGCTGTTACAAAAAAAAAGTCATTTTTTGGAATTGAGTCAATTCTGGAAGTCATTATTCTTTGTTAATTAAAGTAATTGTTGAAGTAAAAAAAAATAGATGGTTAAACGTTAAACATTTAATGCAAATTTATAACAATTTGATCAAAGTTTCTTAACAAAAATTCAAATTTAACTAATAATATTCCTTAAATGTTAAACTAAAGATTTTGACGCTAAAATGTATTTAACAAATTCAGAAATGACTTGGCGGTTTTACAGATACTTTCTTTAAAAAATATTAATATAGTTTCTAAGTAATGGTTGTATCCGTTGATATGCATATTTTTTTTTTTAATGTTAATAACAACGGATTCAATTTTATTCGTTCGGCTGTCATTGTGTTTCCAGCTTCACTAAATACAGTCAACCCTCGTCACAGCGGATGAATGAAGGTTTATTTAAAACCCGTTGTGGCAAGATTTACTGACCTTGCCACAATGGATTTTTATATGTTTTTATATTTTAATGCGAATGTGAACCAAAATTTAAAAATTCGCCACGTTAATATTAATGTATTAATTATTTCTGTACCACCGATTATTCACCAATTATCTGGTGAAAATTTCCAACGCCCGATTAATTAATCAATGAAAAATTTTCAACACCTGATTAACCGGATCGATTTTGTTAAATAAAATTGTGTAACGTAAAATTGTTTGTTATTTAGTATAACAGATTTTACCCTTAATATTTTTTTGCTACTCTTATACTCTTAATATTAATATTAATTACAATTGAAAAATTCCGCTACGGAACAATTATTAATATTATGATCGCCATTATTCCCTATAGGAAAATACCTTTTATATTAATATCAAGATTTCATATTGTGTTTGTATTTATTTTAGCTTTATTTTTATCCGTTGATCATATTGGTAGAAATATTATCAACAATCGCCTTTTTGCCATAATTTAAATGGTGATGATTATAGTTATTTGCCATAATTGTTTTTGGACGAAGGCAATAATTGCGGATTCTGAAACATAAAATAACTATATATTATTATGATGCCATTTGACAATAATTACAGAGATAATTTTGGCAACTATTAAAGTTAACTATAGCATTCATCACAAATACGGTAGCAGTAATTTATTATTATTAAGAAGGGCAATTATGGCGAACAACTATAGTGATAACGATACAACTTCTACTAACAACAACATTAATTATCAATTAATCACAATAATCATCATCCTAATCCTGATAATTCATTAATTGATTTTTTTCCTCGATGATAAGCTTACACAGTGGACGTTTGATAAATTCCTATAATTGTGAAACAATTACAAAAGAAAGTTACATCTAATAACTATGATCACCATTATCTTCTATCGGAAAATACCTTTTATGTAAGTTTTTGTTCATGTTGATATCGTAAAAAAATCATTGCATTTTGTATTATTTATTTTTTGTAACCATTCATCCCCGCTGTCTTACAATTAATTGTAAAAAAAAAAACTGGCACTTTTTTTTATTTATTTAACTTGATTTTTTACCAGTTGATCCATGCCATGTTAATACTAATACAGTAATATTAACCAATCCAATCGAAAAAAATTCCGTGTGGAACAACAAAATATTATAAAAAAACTCGCATTTTATATTTATTCTTTAACTTGATTTTTTACCAGTTGATCCACGTTAATATTAACCCAATCCAATTGAAAAAAATTCCGTGTGGAACAAAATAATTATATATAAAAATGATAGTTTTATAGAAAAAAAAAAAAAAAAATTTGCGCACATAAAAAAATCATATATTTTTTTCATACACTTGAAAATATATATAGTCTATTTTATAAACACAGACTTAGGTTAATTGCATCGTTTTAAAATAAAACAATCAAGTTATTTTTTTATCGATAATGGAAAGAGGTCATTATGTAACAAAAAGCTGTTTGGAATGTAGGAAGGCACAGAAGAGGTGTAGTGAGGAGATTCCTTGCAGAAGATGTTTAAATCGTAAGAGCAACTGCAATAAAAATTGGATTCCGTACACAAGAGGAAGAAAAAAAAAATCAGGTAATGATTTTTCTTTTGTTGATCCGTATTGAAGATCCATCATCCCATCTATTACTATTATTATCATCATCATCATTATTGTGTGCGGAATCAAATTTGGTAATTATTTGCAAAAATCTGCCGATAAATAAATACCAAATTTGATTAACACGCACATTACACGCACTGAATTTATTATATACCCTGTTTATAAGTCAAGAAATAATTCGTTACAGTCGGGTTTTTTATTTTAAATTTTTTTATCAAAAAGTTACAAGGTTTAAAAGGCTCACTATTTTGTCGGACATATTAATATATACAAGAACTAATGGGGGCTTTTCAATTAGTGTTAGCTTCCAAAACTAGAGAGTTTCGCAACCGTGCGAGAGTCGAAAGGTTTCGCCATAAGTCGAAACTGGTTTTGATTTTTGACTATTGACTTTCGATTTGGTATTGACATATAACTTTTAATTTTAGTTTTGACTTTTGCCTCTTCAAAATAGTTTTGGCGACCACACTATTTTCAATAGAAGCGAATCATCCTCCAAAAAAGGAAATTTTAATCCTGCTCCATATGTAACTCTTCATATAGAACTTTTTGGCTTAAAACCACATCCATCCATTTCTAGTGTTCGAAATTCAGAATGCACCAGGGTTGGCAAATTGATTGATCCGTTGAGAACTGATGGACTTTGGACTGGTCTATTGCCATTAATAAAATAATAAATATGGTCAAAATGCTACACTAATGGATCCAATGGATCACCAATGGACTATCAATGGATCACATATTTGCCAACCCTGGAGTGCATAGGGCGTGGGTGCTAATCAAATACAGTATAACCCTCGTTTCAACGGACTTCGCTACAACAAATTATAATTAAATTCGTGTTTCAACGGATTTTAAAAATCTTTGTTACTTATTACACATTATTATTATGAAAACATAAAAATCCGTTGAAACGCGATTAGTAATTTCGTTTCAACGGATTTTAAATGAAATTTTCTTATATTAATATGTACAGCCACTCCGTTAAAACGAGGGTTATACTGTATGGGAATTAGTTACAGATAATTTTCATATTTGGTTAGCATTCGTACCCTCCCACTTCAGGACCCGGACAATTATACACAGTGGATCTCAGTTTAGCGGATACTAATTGAAAATCTCGATTTAACAGATGAAGTCAAGAACGGTTCCATAATAACCATAATAATAATAAAAACCTTTTCGGTATAACGGGTGTTTGGAACATTTTCTCTGATACTAATTGCCTAAAATTATCCGCTAAACTGAGATTCATTGTGTAATTGAGGTCCTAGGTATTACGCTGTAAAACTTTACACATTATCTAATCTGTGATTTACCAAAGTAAAAACCCATAAACATAATTGTAAAAAAATTTCTTTTACAGAGATAAATCTTTTGGCACCAAAATCCATAGTACCGATGGTTATAACTTGAGGTAAAAATGTCCAAAGGTGGGGTAAAAATGATCAACATTTACACATGTTATAGTGCTTAGATGACTCTTTAAAAGAAACATTTTTTATTATGAGATTTGGAGACAAGTCATGTGCTCAATATGATTCAAATCATTTTTGTGCCAAAAACATACTAATACCTCAATTGTAATTGTCCGGGATGCAGATCTTTTTTCAATTTTCTCAAAATTTTTATCGTTTCTATTGCAATATTAAAAGGCACTCAAGTGGCTAACAATCAAAATTCTGTACCTGCTACACCTGCCCAACTTTCACCATCACCATCACCATCACCATCACCATCACCATCACCATCACCATCACCACCATCACCATCACCATCATCATCACCATCACCGCCGCCGCCACCGCCACTACAACAACACGTACAGTTGATTAATCAAAATATTAAATCTGCACAATCTCTAGCTTGTCCTATTAATATTAATGTCGATTCTACACAACCTACATCATCACTTTTTCTTCAGCAACGATCAAATCAAATGGCCAAAGCTCAACAACTAATTCAACAACAACAACTACTGATACAAAGATCCAATTTCATACATTTTCCAAATGATAACATTCAAAATACTATGAGTTCTACAAACACACCTGTTGTTGCTCGTAATCATAATGCATTATATGTCAGACCAGTCTTAAATACTCAATTAAATTCTCGTTCAATTATAACTCCTACTCTTCCTAATTTACCAATGCACACACAAAGACAGGACAATCAAAGAACAGTTGTTCAACAACCTCAGCAATCAACAAATAATAATAATATAAATAATGTTTCCATACCTCAACAAACTCAGCCATCGACAATCTTTCAGCCAAGTATCAATCAATTAGGTTATTCTTCAACATCATTAGTGACACCTTCTTCATCAATTGCTCAAGCTAACAATACATCGATAATAGACAATAATAGCGGTAGTGGTAGTAAAAACAATAACAACAACCAATCAAATTATGGCACATTTCTGACTACTAAACCAGAAAAATTTACCGTTGCTTGTAATGATGTATTTAGAAAACTCGATGCTAAAGCTCGTGAAAGAAGAATAACATCCCGTGAACTTACCAATCTTAGTGATTATGAGAAGGCAAAAATTTGCGAGAAATTGGAATTACTAAAACCAATGCTCTACAGAGCTGACGAAATACTTACTTACTATACTAAATCTCACATTGATACACTAAAGTTTCTAGAAATGAAATACATGATCGATGACCAATTAAAAGCATTACCTGGCAAATACTTGCTTTCACTGAAACAAGCAGATGATTTGTTAACAAAATTTAGCAAATACTTTGAGTTTGTTGAAAATACCAAAAAAGAATTAAATTTCACTGCTACAAATAGCTTGATGCCTGCCGATGACCAAATCATACCACCTATAGCCAATAAAATCATTTCACTGACTGTTCCAAACAAGAAATATAAACTTGAAAATGATCAAGAAAATAAAATTTCTGATTCACATGAAAATTTAAATAAAAAAAGAAGGTTGGAAATTCATGTTACTGATAGAAATGAAATCAAAAATAACAACTCTGAAAATGTCAACACTTACAATAATAGTATTGACTCACCTAAAGATTACGATAAGGAGCCATCATTTGAAGAACTCTATGAAACAATAAGAAAGTTGAATAATACAATGAAAGATAACATGGATACTGGAGAAGCGACCAGAGGAGGTGAAGAAAATCATTTTTTTAGAACGCATGCGGCAAATATCTCCAATCTTGATTATATTGGTAGCGCCTTGTCAAAAGCTGCTTGAATTCTTCTACTTCATTGAGAGGACTTATTAACGGATTGTTAATTAGCGCTTTATATTAGTTTTGCTTTATTCATTTTTATTTTTTTATTTTTTATTTTTATTTTTTATTTTTATTTTTTATCTTTATTATTATTATTGAAAAGAAATTATAAGAACATATAAAGGAAAACAGGTAAATATTGCAATCCTATATGTTACGATTTCTTTGATGTTTCCTATCACCTATAATGCAATACATTTTAGTTTGTTGTTGTTTCATCTGATTGATAATAGGCTTGCCCATTAACACTCAGTAAACAACTTCATTTGTATTGAATTACTGCTTTATTGAACCTCAGTCCTAAACTGATATAATTATTGTTATTGTTAAAATCCTTTTGTTTTTTTTTATATTTAATTTTTTATTTTATATATATATATATATATATATGTTGTGCGTGAATTTGAAATCTGCATGAATTCGAAATTCACGCGCGTGAAATTCAAATTAGCCAATCAGAATTTTGTATCCAAACACCTACCTCAAAATTACAAATTTTTAGAATTAGTTTTCCATTTATTTTCTCGTTCTTCTATCTTGGTTTTTAATTTATATTTGTATAAATAAATGATTGAATTTAAATATTTAAATTTTGTTATTTTAATATTTTTGTTACACAATGTGAACATTTAAACAATTTTTCCATTTGATTTCAAGTTAATTGGTCAATTTTATCAATTTTATTAAGAATTTGTTGTTGCTTTTTGATATTTATCCTTTCTTTTATAGAGCTTGATTTTGAGGAGCTAACACTAGCATGCTAATTGAACTTTTGTATAAGGGGAAGCACAAAAGTTATTATACAGTTGGGAGTGACTAATGAATATCGTTCATCACAGACATGTATACGGTGTTTCCCAACAGACTAGGCTTGTACAATACTGTAGAATTATCAACGGCAAGATAATTATTGACAAAATATATGGTGCTGTTGAATGTATCAATCCATTATGTATTTCATTCAAGTGTGTATGCACTATAAAGCCTTAGGATCCTCATTCAACAATTGCCGTTGCTATTGTTGGTGCACTGACCTTCTCAAAAACTTATACATTCTATCTAAATCACCACCAGTCAATTTAGCTAGACATTCAAAACACTTTTATATCAAAAAGATCTGACGGAGGCATCTCCTGGTCAAGGAGATTTCTGTTCATTTATTACATGTTTTATTTAATAATAAAATTTTTTTTCTATAATATATGTCTTGACATCTTTATCTAAACAATTTGATTTTCTTTCTTGTGTATGTAGGCATAGCATTGGCAATGCATATATCATCTTGCGCGTGGTTTTTTGAATGGTTACTTTGAAATAAAAAATAGTGAATATTCTTTGTTTAATGGACTTTTTATGGTACTGTTGCTGCCATGACTGTTATGACTATCCAAAGTTAGATTGGAATTATTTTATTGTTAGATAATTGGAACCTTTAAATGCATATATGTTGCTTGCCTCAATTTATAAAATTCTAACTTTTAATATAAGCCTGTCATTATCTATAAAAAAAAGATATAAACATTATCGTGGTGTTTGTAAGGTCATATCTACAATAGAGATATATACATACGAGTGGTCATAATCATAGGTCAAAAAGTAATAAATCAGTATAGCAGTTTTATCATCTTTTGGTAGCTGGATAGCGTCAGTTAGCATATGCTATTGATTGTGTTTCTGGGTTTTAGCTAACTGACTCCATTCAGTAAGGAAACGTCTTTGTTTTATTTAAAGTGAATTGCCCTTTTTAAACCTATAGATTATACATATCTATTTTTTAAAATTTTTCTTTGAAGCAGATTTATCTTATATATCTTTAATAAGTAAAATATACTGTATTTACAACTGAAATGGTTATAATGAGGTGGCTGATGTTCAGGATCTGATAACATTAAAAAAAAAATTACTTGGTAATTAATTATTATTTCGCAATTTCGCACCATATAATATTAAACACAAGATGAAATAAATCCCAAGCCATGAATGAGTCCACGTAATATCAATTCAACAAATCCTATTTGAGATTTTTTAACTAGGGTCACATCATCTTCAAAAACAAAAATCAACATCGAAGTTAAATTTTTGCTTGTATGTCAGAAGGTCATTATTCCAGATGTATCGCAAGTCAAATTGCAATATCATTATTATCGTTAACGTTATTGTTGTAAATAGAATCTAAACATAATTCAATTAAAATAGACAATTTTGTTTATGTAGTAATTGTAAATTAAAGGTAAATTATTGGTTCTCTAACAAAAGATAGTTTAGGCGCTCTCCGAGTTTTTTGCATAATATATATAAGGATAAAAAAACCAGGTCATATTTATTTAATTTTCTCAAAATAATTCAATACAACTTTGCTGCCAATACTAATCGGAAAAAAAATGAGAAATTCCATTATGGAACAATTAACTATTTATATATATTACTATTACTATTGCTATTACCATTATTATTATTACTATTGCCATTTACTATTACTATTACCATTTATATCACTATTACTATCACAATTATTATTATAATCATCCCTATCGGAAAATACCTTTTAGGGACGGACATAATTTTTGTTTATATCGTAAAATTAAAATTAACTATTTTTATCTGTTGACCATATTAATATAATTATAGCTTTTCTTGCCATAATTTAAATGGACAAATAATAATAATGACAACAATACAGCTTCTAACAACAACAATATTAATTATCAATTTAATTTATTAGTTTACTAATTAATCATTATAATAATAATTCATTTTCAATTAATTGATTCTTTGGAGGCGTTGGATACAAAATTCTGATTGGCTAATTTGAGTTTCACGTGCGTAAATTATAAATTGACGCAGATTACACAACATATCACATTACTGCTGATTGCCATTATTCTCTATCGGAAAATACCTTTTATGAAGACATTCAGTAATTTTTTTGAATTTTGTATTGATAAAAATAATACTTCATTTAGTATCCATTTTAACTTGATTTTCTACCTGTTGACCATATTAACGTTGATAAAATGAACATCCAATTGAAAAATTTCCCTTATGGAACAATCAATCATATATAAAAAGTCACAAAAAAAATTTTTTTTATTTCTTTTTACGCATACAAAAATCATATTTCTTTTTACGCATATAAAAAAATCATATTTCTTTTTGCGTACACATATTATCAATTATTTTTTTTTTTCACGTATACACTTGAAAATATACGTCTACCTTATAAACCACAGGTAAAAAAAATCAATTGACTTAGGTTAAACATGCACCGTTTTAGTTAAATAAAACAACATTTAACCATTGTTAAATTTATTTTTTTGCCAGTATGGAAAGAGGTCATTATGTAAAAAAAAGCTGTTTGGAATGTAAAAAAGTGCAGAAAAAGTGCAGCGAAGAAACTCCTTGTAAAAGATGCGTTAAAAATAACAGCCACTGCGATAAAGATTGGATTTCGAACAAAAGAGGAAGAAAGAGAAAATCAGGTAATATTATATTTTTTTTATTGGCCTGTATTGAAAGGAAATTTATAGGATCATATAGAGAAAACAGATATGATTATTTGATATTGTGCTACCATTAAGAGCACACAGTGCAATACATCGTTGTTTGTGATTGATAATGGGCTGCCCATCAACTCATTTATTAAATTGAATGTCCAACCAGTCTACCCACATAGTGATCTGACATGATCATATTGACATTGAAATGATCCAATGATAGTTACTAAAATTTTTTACATAAAATATAAATCTGATTTATTTGTCAAAAAATTTAATACATTTATAAGATGCGTTTCGTGGCCCTTCTTTTCCATTTTTCATTATAAGAATTGTATATTGTGCCTTTTAATTTTTTTAAAATATTTCCACACAAAGCTTTGATTTTTGTTTTAGATAATTTTGCTTTTGATTTGTTGGGCAAGAGTTTTCAGGGATTAGAGAGGATACGGCTGGTTGTATTCTTCAACATATCTAAAGTCAGTTAATATTAGTTCCTAATACTAATTAAAAGTGATCTATATTTTAACCTACTTTAACCTCTAAAATAGCAGAAGTCATCGGCTATTATTGGTTGCCAAAAATAGTATGTGCTCCTTCAGTAGCGATCGGATAAACGGATATCCTCTTATCCGTATAAAGTATGCACCAGTTGAGCAAAAATATCATGTCGATTACGACGTTACGAAGTGACAGGATCTCATCAATGATTTTGATGATGTTATAGCCGTGAAAAATATGGAAATAACGGTTAGGTTGCAGGTAATGTTGATATAATACAAAATAATATTAATAATAATTTTTTTAAAAATGATCCGATTATTATAGTGCGTGAAAATTTTATATTAAATGAAAATGATCTATTGCATCAATAATTAAATTGCCAATTCAGATTCGATACTAACGCGAGAACAAAATTTAAAACGTAATCCTACTAACGCGAGAACAAAATTTAAAACGTAATCCTGCTAACGCGAGAACAAAATTTAAAACGTAATCCTGCTAACGCGAGAACAAAATTTAAAACGTAATCCTACCAAACAAGAACTTATTCAACCATTGGTCATGTGGATATCTTACGAAATGGATAAGATTTTATTGAATCTTTGGTTAAATATACAAACTAGTATCAGTCGCTATCAAAAGTTGTAATATTTTCTATTGTTGACCCCTTGTGCATTGTTGAAATAAATAAAAATGACTTAATGTAATGAATCAATGTAAAAATCCATGAAAAGTAATTTATGGATTGAACCAACTTTAACGTTTTTGTTCGGGCTAAAGGTATTCTAGTACTATAAATTAACTATATAAGAGAGAGAGAGAGAGGAGAGAGAGAGAGAGAGAGGAGAGAGAGAGAGAGAGAGAGAGAGAGGAGAGAGAGAGAGAGAGGGAGAGAGAGAGAGAGAGAGAGAGAGAGGAGAGAGAGAGAGAGAGAGGAGAGAGAGAGAGAGAGAGAGAGGAGAGAGAGAGAGAGAGAGAGAGAGAGAGAGAGGAGAGAGAGAGAGAGAGTATACAATTATGATATAATACTGTAAATTATACTATGTAAAATTATGATATAATACTGTAAATTATACTATGTAAAATTATGATATAATACTATGATATACAGTATTATAAGCTTTATTTTAATGGTTTATGTTAGCAGCCTGCGAGCTCTGACCTTGGCCTGATTTTTAATAACCACATATGTAAACTCGATAAGTCGGCCAAAATTTTCACCCCATTTTCTTAATATTTAAGTAATTTAATTCGATAAATCGGTTTACTCGATAAGTCGGTCATATGAGCTCACCCCCACATCGAGTTTACATATGATAAGAAAAACCTTTTATTCTTTGTTTTATTTTTAAATTTGTGCATACCGCCCCACATGTTACATAACATGCAGCCAGTGTTGGTGTCTGAAAATTCAAAAAAGAATATTTTTCTAAAGGATTAATTATAAATATCTTATTTGTCTATATATAGATGATGATAATAATAACAGAAATGGTAGCAGAAATGGTAATAATAATGATAAAGACAATGATGATTACAAGAGTGATGATATAATCAATCCAGATGATCCTGCATCGGAAGAAGACCACAATATAGTTATATTTGATAGTGAACTAACACTGGATGAAAATATTGAGAATATTCGGAGATGTTTTTGGGGGAATGTTTAAATTTTATATTCGTTCTTTTTAAAAAATATCATTTTTCTAATTTTTATGTATTTACTTTTAACTATTATTCTTTCATATTATATTTTTTAATTTTTTTTAATTTTATGTGAGAGTCTTGTGAGGATAATAATAACAATTATTGAATGCGCGGCAGATTTATTGTATTAATTTATAGATTAAAATTCCAACTTAAATATAATTGGGTTAAAAAGAGATAATTATAATGTTAATTATTAACCCTTTTTGAACACATTTCATATTCTCTCAAGACCAAATTATCAGTTTTTATCAAAATTTAATAATTCAAAGGAATTCCACAAAGGTGTTTTGCTCATTTCTGCTTTATAAAACCATGTGAATGAAAAAATCCAACAACAAATAATTTTGAAATAGTTTGATACTGATTCTTTCTTGTCATTATTGTTTTTCATCAATAACTACTACTGGTTCTTCGTTAACATTTCCTTTCACATCAACATTTGAGGTTTCCCAAACATCTATTAAATATTCAAGTGCATAATGAAATTTTTTAGATTCCTTCAAATTTAAAAATGGTGCCCCAACATCAAATTTTATAAAGAGATTTTTTAATCAGTAGGCTTCATTAGAAAAGATTATTTCACTTTATGTTTATTTATTGCAACCAGTAACCTCAGAGAAATGTCAACATCAACAACAAATAAACCATATACTGCATGAATAAGCAACGAGTTTTGACTTGAAAAATAAATAATTGCTTATTCACGGACTAGTATATTGGCTTGAATTGTTGCTTATCCACGTTCGAATTTAAACATGTACTATGTGGATCAACATTTTGTATTATAAATAATTTCGGGGTTCAAAATTTAGCTATAACCAATGAATATGTAGTTCACTATTGAGTTAGCCTTTAAACAATATCTAACTGGTCCCAAAGACTGCATCTAAAGACCGATATTTTAGAACTGAGATCAGACTGGACCAACACAACCCTAATTTTCAAATAACAAACACCTTGAAATTTTAACCTCATGCTTTTGGTTTTCAGTTTTTGGCGTGATCAATGTTTTCACCATATTTAGAAAAATTGTGTCATACGGCAAATATTCTGTTCCTTAAATAAACTTAAGCAAGCGTGCAGAGCAATGGACAGGAAAAAATCTGTTTTTTAAACCTAATTGTTTGTTTTCTGAAATATATTTATTCTTTGATGATCACTTTTTTCCACATGATTAAACACTTATCATGCAATAATAATTTTTTCCACCAATAAAAATTCAATTACAAATACAACTTGAGAAAAATAATGATGCTCCAATAAGTGATTCAGAAAATAATGGTAAAAATTATTTAATAAAAATAAAAATTATATTCTTGTAAACGATATTTTTTTTTAAAGATACACTCACCAGTAAGGACACTTGCAGATCATCGGAAATAATTGAATGAAAAAAAATAAAAAATTTTTATTATCCTAACCACATTTGCCTATTAAGTAAAAATTCATCTTCATATCAAATAGTATAATATAAACAACAACTGTTGTTTTACAAACCTTAAAAAATAAAAATTAATTTTTCGGAATTTTCAAAAAAATCTTTAACTCGAAAAATTGACCACAATGGCAAGCTCTAACGACCGTTGTTGTATAAGTGAAAAATGCGTATTATGTTTAAATCTAGTTATATCCAAAATTCCAGAGCATTTGGTAAATTAATTAATGAGAAAAAAAAAATAAAACGTAGAAAATTTTACGAAACGATTCAATCTCAAACTGCTCACCAATTTGAAACATAAAAGACATCAAAAATATATGAAACTGTTTTAAATTGATTGTATTTATTAAAAAAAATCAATATCTTGTCGGGTTTCCTTTATTTTTTAAAACAGCATCCACTCTTCGTGGCATACTATTTATTAATCTATTAATTCTCACAGGATAGTATTAAACCATTCCTCATTTGATAAATTGAATAGTTTTGTTTTATTTTTTGGTTTTGGGTTTCTCATTCTAAGTCTTTTTTTTAAATCCTGCCAGGTCTAAGAGATGGAGTTGTTTTATTTTTTGAAAAATAATCATTAATGGTCTTTTCGACTGCACTATTGGATCTATTTAATATACGAGCTATTTCTCTATAAGAAAAATCGGCATTTTTTAAGCCAACAATTTCTCCGCGTTCGAATTCAGATAATTGAGTAGCTTTGAACATTTTAAATTAACACGTCCGAGTATTTTGTATGACATCTTGGCAATTAATTTACTAAATAATCTAGAATTTTGAATATAACTAGATTTAAACATAATACGCATTTTTCACTTATACCACAAAGGTCGTTAGAACTTGACATTGTGGTCAATTTTCGAGTTAAAGATTTTTTTGAAAATTCCGAAAAATTCATTTTTATTTTTTAAGGTTTGTAAAACAACAAGTTGTTGTTCATATTATACTGATATGGAGATGAATTTTTACTTAATAAGTAAACGTGGTTCTTTATTGATTATTTCCGATGATCTGCAAGTGTCCTTATATTTATGACCAACAAAAAAAAATACTTGCTGATCATTTTGTATTGATTTTTTTTTTTTTTTTAACGCTGCAATAAAATTTTTTATTTATTTAAACTTTAATTAAAAAATGGACACTTCCAATATTAATATTTACGAATATGAATGCTTTATTTTATTGAGAAAATGTGACTCCAGAATTGACGACACTTTTAATCTACCTGTTTCTTTTTTCTTGCTTTTGATTTACTAATTAGAACGACCAATTAATCTATCGGTAGCAATAAAGAAAAAAAAAATTGAATCAAAAATTCATTTTGTATTGATTAATTTTTTGTCTGCTATTCTTTGTTTTTTTTTTTTTGTTGTATGTATATTTACTTTTATTATTCATTCATTCATTCATTCAAAAAAATTACTATAACGCGCAAAAAATATTGTTTATGCCAAATGCGTAATTATCGTTGCAACTATTACTGATAACAAATTTGATCGAATAATTATAATCGGGTAACACTGCGTACAATATCAAAAGTTTCTTTGATTGGTATTATATGGAAAGTGTAATATTTATTTCATATATCACGTATTTTTTTTTTGTCACTGTTTTCCATCTAAAAAATGATTAAAAAGTGCCATTCTCACACTGATCATTCTAGGAAAAAACATTTATTTTCTCTTATATTGTTTGTTTGTTCCCTTGGTATGATTTTACGAAACGACAATTGTTATTATTTACATAAATAGTTACACCAATGAGTCCAAAAAAGAAAACAAGAATTACTATATACATACTGGATAAACTTTACCATATTATTATTCGATATGAACGATTATTTTCTGTTCAAATTCATCTTGCGGAAAATAACACATTTTCGCCCCTTTGTACTATTTTACAAAACGTCAAGGTGAATTATTATTATTATTTCCTTAATAGTTGCTACGTAAATAATCCCAAAAAAAGAAAACAAGTATTATAAACATCAATAAATAAAATAAGCCTATTACTACCAGATAAACTTTATCTTATTATTATTCGATATGAACGATTATTTTCTGTTCAAGTTTATCTTGTGGAAAACCACAGCATTTTTACTTTTTCCGTTCGTGACTGCATCTATTATCGACGAAAATTATGGATCTGAACAGGATGTGTATGATGCGATGCTTAACACATTCTTTCCGATCTTTTTTGTCGTTTTGTTCAATGTGAAAGGGGGATCTGGGCCCATCAAAAGAGTGCTGTTGCCACTACTGGATGACATATTATACAACACAGTCACTTGGGTGATTCCGCTGGTAGTTTCTTTGGCCTACGATGATTTGCTGGGCATAAAGATATTTTCATTTGTAAACATGGGTTTGCATCTAATTGCAGCATTAGCCGCGATAATTAACAATGGAAAAATTGGTGTTAGTATTAGCAATAGATCTTTTTTTTTTGTATTTATCTTTGTGTTCTTGATATTTTTCCCAGCTATAGTCATTCCAACATTCTGGGCTTTTTTTATTGCAACTAGACATCTTTATGATCCAGTTAGTATAATATTTCTTACATCATTTGGGATACTGTTGGCTACAGCATTATTTTATTTTACGCTAGCTCTTCCTGCCGACTGGCAATCGGAACAAGTACTTGAATGGAGGATCTTTTACGTATTATTTTTTCCTGGATGGTTTTATCTCCCGAATATTCTGCAAACATTATTTATCGTGTTGAAATGGCCAATCAATTTTTACTTTGTCAAAGCATGCGTGTTTATACTGGTTCTCTCTTTAACAAGAAATGTATCCTTCTTTACAGAGAAGAAGCCAGCACCTGATGACTTTCTGGCTACTTCAACAACAATGATTCAATGTGTTATGCGCGAATTAATAAGTGAAAGTCTAAAGGGTGAGGAAAGCCAAAAGGAAATAATCGGGGAAACGGATAAATCAATGGCTGAAATGAAAGAATCAATAATGGCCGAAATGAAAAAATCAATGGTCGAAATGAACAAATCAATAGCCGAAAGGATGGATAGAATAGAAAAATCAAGACATATTGGATGAAATTGCTAAAATTCAACAAAATTATCATTACCATTATTATTATTCACTTACAGTACATTAGTTTTCTTTTGTTGCTGTGGTGACTTCGTCACTAACAGTGTATTTTATTTCTTTACTATTTACATCGTTATATATATATATAGCAAAAATAAATATCGTTATTTAATAAAAACATAGTCTAACCACATCCATCTATCTCCATATATATCCATAAATAAAAAAATAATTTGAAAAGAATAATAAGAGTTTAAATGATTTCTTATAATAATGATATCATAACTATTCCTATTTCGGAAAATTGCGCTGTTGTACCTTCAGAACCACATTAGTTAAAAGAGAAATTGAAGTATTCGCTCTAATAGTGTGGTGCTAATTGTAGATAAAGTACGTGGTTTTTTTCCTTTATTCTATAAATCACCATCATTACAAATCAAATCAAATCAAATCAAATCATTTACTAATTCACTAATTTCATATTTTATTGATCAATTAATGAAAGTTAGTTTTTAAATTTATTATAAAAAATAATAATGTAATTCAAAATTAGATCGAGCTTTGCGCATTTGTAAAAAACAATTTACTTGCTGTTTTATTGGAAAAGTATTCCTTCGGAATTGATTAAATTTCAAATGTTTTCCTAAAAATAGCTGAAAAAAATTTTTTTTTAGTATATGTTGTTCAGTATTATTATTAGAAAAAACCGTGTGATTGTTATTTTTTTATAAAAAATAAAAGTTTTCTTACTGCATATTAGTTACACAAAAAACTCCAGAAATGTATCATATTTACATATTTATTTTTAGAATTGAAATTAAATAACTAGTATTTTTTTTACAACGTAATAGGTAAAACAATCTAGCCCATTTGAAGAAGATAATGAATGTAATTCAAAATTTGCGCATTCGCAAAGAACAATTTACTATTTTATTGGGAAAGTGTGCCTTCAAAATCGACGACACTTATTCTGCTTGTTATCTAAGAAATAAATAGATTGTGTTTTGGATTTTTAATCAATGTAAATTTTTCTATAAACCTACCTACCCATTTCTTTTTTCTTGCTTTATTTGGACACTTTGCTTTGTTACTGTTTCCTAAAAAGGCATCATTGTCATATTGACCATTTCGCAAACCTTATTTTCTCCTTTATC